AAAATGGTTTGACAGGTATTGCAGTAGCGCGGATAACAACATGCGATTGCTGCACTATCCATCGGTAAAGAAAGAGAATCTGGGCACTGGGGAGGAGGAGAGGGGCGCTGTGAGGGCAGGCGCACATTCCGATTATGGAACGATCACGCTACTCTTCCAGGACCAGGCGGGGGGACTACAAGTTCGCGCGCCAAACGGGACATATGTTGATGCTACGCCCATCCCTGGGACCATCGTTGTGAATGCTGGTGACCTGCTTGCACGTTGGTCAAACGACTTGATAAATTCGACTGAACATCGGGTTGTGCGACCACCTGGGGAGGGTGTGAAAAGGGTGAATGAAGAGAGTGGTGAGGAGGAAGTGTGGTATCCGGCAAGGTATAGTTGTGTGTATTTCTGCAATCCAAACTATCATGATTTCATCGAGGCGATTCCGGGGACGTATGGTGGAGAAAAGGGAGAGAAGAAGTATCCTGGGGTGACTGGTGAGGATTATATGGTAAGTAGGCTGGCGAGTACATATGGTTCGACGTAGGCGGGGAATTCGAAGGCAAATGCTTAAGAAACACATAATCGAGATATGTTGCTGCTTCCATTTCGTTTTCTTTTACATTGATTCCTTCAAGCATATTACTTGGTTTTTCGTATTTTCGTGTTGTCTATCATGAACCCGAGAAAGTTCTATAATTTGGTCATCTGTGGTGTAGTGATATTTATGAAGGCAATCTTACACTGAGTACCCAACCTAAGCTACCTAAATCCACATAAGTTCTTCATTGACCGAAAACCCTTAGGAATACGTGATTACTTAACCAGACCATCTAGAATGTGTTCCAAACAGAGAATCAAATAGGAAAGGAACTTTGCTAGCAGATTCAAGACTGCGACGCGGCCTCTAGGCCCTCGATAGCCGCGGTGCACATCGATGCACATTCCCTAACCCTATGTTCCCTACTCTCCTTTTCTGTACTGTACATTGTTGGGATGGAAATGGTGTGGTGTCGGATTCCATTAATGATTGGGAATTGCTGCTTTCGCTGCAGGTATGCCGTCCTCGAGTACAGGCCTCTTGGGTTCTCTAAACCCAGATATTCACTATTTACATCCACGTCCACGGAACGCCGCAATATCGGAGGAAGTATCAAAAGAGGTAAGTCGGCACGGAATGACGACTGCACGTGTTGAGTCCCCATCGTAAACCAAATGGGCATCGGGACAGGGCTGAGGCTTATGTCAGATTTTTATCCCTTGCTCAATATCCGTGCTCTACTCGATTAGGTACTTTGCAACTGGGGCCATGTCCCGAGCTAAGGTCTAACTTTATTTCTTTTAGTGTACAAACTTCTGTCAGATTTTTCCACCTACGACAATCTGGAACAACATAGAGCAGTACTTTAAAGTATCTGGGCACCTTGCATACCTGAGCATGTGTGTCTATCGTGGCTGTGCACCTGTCTATTCTTCGCAATTTTCGGCTTTCCCCATAACATGCATAGGGCTGAAGCTTATCTCAACCAAAGTATTTCATTTTTATTGTTACCAGGCTAAATTCATACTTGACAATGCACACTTGAGTCGAATTGGCAAATATTTCCACTTGTGAGGCTTGTAACTGTACCTGCGCCAGTCACATTGGATGTCTTTTAAGATGCCACAAACTTTGTTATCTTGTCATGAGATGTGAATTCTGTTTATTGGGCTTGCTTTACAGTAGTTTTTTTTTGAACTTGGTTGATCATTCCTAATCCGTTCCGTTCCATTCCTTGCCATGCCCATGGCCAGAAGTGTATTTGAGGCATTAGTAGGCGTATGGGCTTCGATCTTTGTTTGTTTGATGCATTCATCTTCTAGCTATTCCTTGGCTAAACACTACTAAGGAAACACGAGCGAGTAATTACTTGGACTTGATGATACCAGCGGAATTTGATTAGTCTATGATACTGAGCAAGGACTCGAATATAAGTATGCAGGGGCGGGCATATTTGTACGAGTGCAATTGTAAATTTGACTCCATGCAATTATCTGCACATGTCAGTTCAACTGTCAACACAACTCAGGCAGCAGGAAAGATAGAGGCTGTGCGCATCTTCATTGGCTGCACTGCAATTTAGGCCTCTCTCGGGTATTCATTCACAGGTCATCGATCCACAGGCATGGCTCGGCAATATCAGAGACGCTTATTGGGGCATTTGTGCTGACGGTTTCGGGTGATATGCTAAAGAAAACCTATCATCATTCAGCTCCGTCAACGTCGCTTTCGAGCTGGCGGAACATCCCGCTTTCAAGATGCTCCAATCCTGTAACAAAGAAAACATACCTGAGGAATTAAGAGCCGCAAGGCTGAGAGAATTTTTATTGAGTTCAGACTGAACCTGCGCGGTTATAAGTCAATTGATGTTCTTCTTCCTTGTGGATCTCTTTCGGTATTCATCATAAAACACAAACTGCTCATCAAGCGATCACGACATGGCAGCAATGGCATCAAGAAGCACCCTAGGCAATGCTGCCGAGACATTACCGCCTTCAAAACCGGAGCCAGATGTTGAATACGGTTCTGATAATCTTCACCTTTACAATGATCTTGTCAGTTCCTTCTCTTTCGGAAATATCAGCGTTCAAGTACAAGACAAAATTTCAAACTCGGAAAAGTTGATTCTGGACAGAATCGATGGAACCGTTGAAGCAGGTAATATAGCATTCTACGGGATAGCAACAATCTGAACTTATCTAATTGCCATTCTTTGAACTTGGTAGGTGATATGGTTGCGATCATGGGTCCTTCCGGATCGGGAAAAACAACATTACTCAATGTCCTTGCCCATCGCCTTTTGTCGAACAAGGGCAAAATTGGGGGTGATATCTACATAAATCAAGCTCCTACTACACTAGCTACCATCCGTCGGGCTAGTCGCTTTGTAGAACAAGAGGACAGCCTTATTGGAAGTTTGACTGCTCGCGAGACATTGGAGTTTTCTGCAAAACTGGGCTTGCCACGGTTTGTACACCTTTATGGCTTCGATATTGCATCAGGCTAGCTCGACTAATGATGGCATTTATTGAATAGAACCGTGAGCAAGGGCGAGCGAAAACGACACATTGACAATATGCTCTCATCATTTGGATTGACGACGCAGGCAAATACCATTGTTGGAACACCAATTCAAAAAGGGTTGTCTGGTGGGGAGAAGAGACGACTGAGTGTTGCCAGTCAGCTGATTACCTGTCCAAAAATTCTCTTTTTGGATGAGCCTACAAGTGGGCTGGATTCGGTTGCAAGTTATGAGGTTATATCATACTTAAGGGAGGTTGCAAAACGAAATAGGGTATGCAACTTAAAGCGATTCTACAAAAATCAGATATTCGACATATGTATTAATATTGCTCAATTAAATTAGATTTTGGTGATCATTAGTATCCACCAGCCTTCAACCTCGACTTTCAACCTTTTCGATACGGTATTCTTACTTTCAAAAGGACGTCAATGCTATGGAGGCCGCCGAACAGAGATCTCAGGATACTTTCAAGCCCTCGGGTTCCCGATGCCGTTACACATCAATCCTGCCGAATTCCTTCTCGATCTCGTCAATGTGGAGTTTCACAAAGATCGCGAGTCAGCTACCAGGCATCTGCACACTATTAGCGAAGGCTGGGCAGACTTGAATAAACGACCATTTGAAAATAGAACATTCCCTGTGGCAGATTCAGCAGCGCCAGGGCTTGTCATGCCTCATCTCGAGGCAAGGTCACAAGCACTTATTCCTTTCATCCTCCTTCACCGCAATTTCATCAAAGCCCGCCGAGATGTTGTCGTGTACGGCATTCGAATAGCAATGTATGTCGGTTTTGCAATTTTATGCGGCACGGTATTCCTACGCCTCAAATCCGAACAGGAATATATCCAGACGTTCATCAACTGCATTTTCTTTGGATCTGCATTCCTGTCCTTCATGGCCGTTGCCTATGTACCGGCCTTCCTCGAAGATCGTGCGACATACGTGAAGGAGCGTGCAAATGGATTATACGGTCCAGGGAGTTTCCTCGTTGCAAATTTTCTAATTGGGGCACCATTCCTATTCCTGATATCCATACTTTACGCAGTGATATCTTACTGGCTGGTGAACTTCCGGCCAACAGGAGAGGCATTCTTTATGTATACAATGTGGTTATATCTTGATCTTCTTGCCGCCGAATCGCTTGTTGTTCTCATTTCATCAATCTTCCCTGTTTTTGTCATATCACTCGCCCTGACAGCTTTCACAAACGGCTTGTGGATGGCCGTGAGCGGGTTCATGGTTGCCCCATCTCAGTTGAATGCTTTCTGGAAATATTGGGCAAGGTATAGCGATTACCAGAGCTACGTTTTTCAGGGAATGATGGTGAACGAGTTTCGAGCGAGGGAGTTCAAGTGTGCAGAGCGTCTTGGAGGAGGGTGTGATTGCATGTACCCGACGGATTTGGTAGATCAGTGTTTGATATCCGGAAAGGTTGTTTTGTCACAGTTTGGGTATAATGAGGAAAAGACAAAGTTATGGGTTGGAATTTTGTTGTGTATAGTTTTGGGATATCGGTTGTTAACGTGGGTGGTCTTAGTTATGAAGAGAGCATAGATGGGGATAATGATGGTTTCTTTTACATGTTGTTTTGTTTTTGGGTTTTCATTTCATCATTCTTAGGGCACTGGCTGGGTAGAACTGTTTTCGGTTTTTCTTGTTCAAAAGATACTCAAATGTTAATTTTCCTTTAAAACATGAAGTGGTCTTGTATACAATATGACATATATTCTTTGTTCGTATCTTGCCTCTTCAAATATAACAGGCACGACGGCCTAGTATCATTTTGAACTTGGGAAGGTTCTTAAGAATACTAGTGGGAATCAGCTCATATATGCCTGATCTTTCATCACTTATTCTTCATCAGCGCACTATAGTATTACTTGTCCTCACACAAAATCGAAATGAGTTTGCAAAAAACAAAGGAGAAAGGAGTGGTAATCCTCCCGATGCGTCCAGCGGGAATCGAACCCGCGGCTAGCGCATGGCAAGCGCCAATTTTACCACTAAACCATGAACGCTTCTTTTATGAACAATTAAACTATTGTTAATCTATGACCAGAAGCGCCAAGACGGCCAATGAATACTGGGCACAAAAACGATGTCAAGATGTAATTAAGTTAGCAGCAAATGCCCCCACCAACAGTCGCTGTGAAGCAAGAAAGTGCAGTAGGTGTTTCAGACTATTAGCAAGCAGGAGTATAGAATTCATTTTCCGGGGGATATCATAAATAATAATAATCTCAATGTTTCCTCAATATCAATCTTCTTTCTGTTCCTAGCATTGAAAAGATTTTGACTTATTCGATTTCACAAGTAAAATCTACCGCTGCAGCAACAATATTTCGGGGGAGAGCATGGCGCTGCAGCGACATCAGGGTAAGCCGGTGTTGCTATGGCAACAATCCGTTGCGAAGTGTCGAAGTCTTGCTGCAGCGACATAACGTCGGGGTTATGTAGCCTCGATTCAGGCGTTGTGAGTCTTGGCAACCATGATGTTGCATATAACTTGACGGATTGTGATGCTAACGCACTACAACCACCTGCAATCAAACAAACCCAAGACTCACAACGCCTGAATCGAGGCTAGGGGTTATGGCGCTGCAGCGCCATCCCGACGTCGATTGTCGCTACAGCGCTATTACCCTGAGGCCGTGTCTCTGGCAGCGCCATGCCAGCGCCGATAGCAACAATCGGGAAGCCCTGTCGCTACATGTATACAGCAACAAGTCGACCTATGCTGATGTAGCTCCCTGCAAATTTCATCAATTTGACAGCATCCACGGCTGCTCTCTCTCTCTGTCATATATACCAGAGCATTGGCAACTTTGCTCTCCCATTGGCACCTCATAATCGACAACATCTCCCTAATATCGATTCCGCTGAACTCCACGTCCATTTTGCAGCATCAAAAGCCCTTGTTGACTTCACATCAGCACTCCAAGCATAGGAACTATAGTTCAGTAGTTGACGGGTCATTCGGACAGACTGATTGATTGGACAAAGGGTAGATCAAGCTCGTTGTGCCTTGGCTCCAACTAGTACTCGAGTGATGGCGGGTTTGCGATACCGCGGTATCTGGCGAGTTACAGCCCTTGTCAATTCTCAACTCAAGACTGACGCTTTGCCACAAATGGGTGGATTTCGGCCGTGCCCTGACCGTGCTCTGCCCTTTTTGCAGAGGACTCTTTGACTGTCTTCAAAAACGACAAGGGCTGTAACTCACCAGTTAAGGCGGTACTCTACCATTCTTAATTTAGCTGTCAAATTGACCTGTCAACTGATGTTCCTACTGTATGTGCCGTGCACTGCATAGCCGCTGCACTGCGCCGCAACCAAGCATACGGGCCGGCACATGCCACTACTCCACATTCGAGTACTCTACTCTGCAGCAATATGAATCAAATCAGGCGTGGGGTAAACAACAACGCCCCGCGATCCATGTAAACAAAGGAGCTTGCATAGAACTTTCTTCGACTCGTCACCTCGAGCTTTGGTATTCAGCCCAACTTGTCCTCAAAGTCGAAGATATCGCCAAATTTAAGAATACTTTTCACAAACAATAACTCGATTTTGCTTCTGATTGAGCGTTTTGGTAGCCGTAACATACCATGGCGGCTCCGAAAGCAACCATCCAGAAAGACCCTGATACACAATATCAGCATTTCATACCTCGATTTGTTCTCAGGTCGTTCTTTGACCCAGCCTCTATTCCTTCAAATGGAAGTACTCCTCCAGGAATCGTGCCTCCTCGAATTCCACTTCCACCGAAAGCCGTGGATCCCATCACGGAAAATGAGGCAAATAACGCCCAAAGTGCCCAACAGAATAAGAAGAAGAGTAAACGCCGCGGGAAGAAATGGAAACTCGACGTCAAGAACCCACCATTGAAATTTTACGACATGGAAACGGAGACTCGGTCACTACACTATACAAGCAGGTGTTATGGAATCATCGACATGTACCGCGATATATCACAGCTAAAGGATCAGCAGCATATCGAAAAGATGCTAAGTGAACTAGAAGCTATTTCTGCGAAAATTGTTGCACGTATACTACAAGCAGTAGATGCCATAACGGGAGGTGATGGCAGAAAGGTGGTCAATCTAACCCGGATCGAGCGGAACTCCCTACGAAAATTCATATTTGTCATGAAATATCGCACTGCGTTATTCTTTCACAAATATAATCACCATACCTTGGCCACCTACGAAGCGGTAGACAAAGATTCCTTGACGCAGTTCATGAGAAAGACGAAAATTTCTAGTCCCAGAATGGTGTGGCTGAACAATCTGAAAACTATCTTGGAGACTCACATTGATGCCGAAGGTACATGGGTGCACGACGTGAGGGAAACGATGTTTGTCCATGATGCCAATTGGTTTATCTTCAACATGCAGGAATCATATATGGCCTTCGTTACACCAGGAGATGAAGTAATTGCAGAAGAAGGGGAGTTTATTCTATCAGAGTCTGCTTTTGGTATCCATGAGGGGCCGACAGAGGGGCCTGGGGCTTCGGGGGAAACTGGTGGTGGGGAATTTATAGAGTACCACAAACTGGCTCCTCTATCGCCCAGGCTCCTCCTTGTTCTCCGGTCAAATTTTCTTCGCAAAGGCAATGAGGGGGTGTACGATCAGTTGCGCCAGATGACCGAAAAACTTACCTCTTCAGCTGGGAAGAAGCTCATGGCCACTCCTTCAGTTTTTGCCGGCCTGGAACTGGAGCCTGCTACTCCCAGTTATGGTCTGAATCTTCCAGTTCATCGATTTAAACCAAAGGACGATGATTTATTCGCATTCAAGATTCAGAAAATCAATTCAAAATACCTACATCTGTTCAATACAATCATTCTTGCGGAGGCAAAGGTTTCTCTCACATGGAAAACCGACAAAGCCATGAAAAATACCCTAAAGGAATATCTCGATAATGAGGATTTCAAGCTCCCTGGTGATTTACGATGGATTGCCGGAATACCCGGAAAGGAGGCCACAGATCTGATCAAACAATGGAATATCTTCTTGTATAGGAGGAAGAAAATTTGCAGACTTTTTACCTTGTTGGGGGGGAGTGTACCCACTGGAGATGGCCACCACTATCAAGGCTACAAGGAACATCAGCAAAGGCTTCTCAGCCAGCCAAGCCTCCAGGGATATTTCTTATTGGGTGGTACACCAGATACATTTCCCTCTGATTTCACTCAATCCCGTCTTATTTCACATATGCGATGCATTATTGCCGACGCTCTTCCGGGTGGTCCTCAAAATCTGATGTATCGTAGCATCGTTTTTCGGAATCAGATGCAATTCTATGCCCTTTTACCACCTAGGATTGTCTTCCTGCACTGCAAGTTTTGGAGGGCAGGCCAAAATCATCGCGATGGACTTCCAGTCGACAGTCTCTTCACAGAGAAAACTCTTCATGGGAAGTCTCCGGTGAAGATTCCGGACGGTGCGGAAGATGTGTTGCCTCCACTTGCTCATAAACTTCCCAAAACTGTGTTGTCGTTACTCCTTCTACAAACAACTCTGGCGCAGGTTGAGCATCAGCGGAATTTACATTCCGGAAAGCACATTGCAGAATTCAGTCTTTTCAGTAATTTTGGGGGCATTCGAAGCTCATGGCTAGTCAGTCCTATTGAAGGCCTTTATAAGCCAGAAATTGGTGCACAGATTGTATCATGGAAAAGGGAGGTCAATGTGAATCGTGACGAGTTCTCACTTGAGATGAAAGTTAGGTTGCAGCTCAAAAGGAACGGAGTAATCGAACGACTTTGGGGAATGGAAGTTGGTGACTGGGTGTGGAAGTGGTTGTATTACGTACCTGATGGTAAAGGAGGGTTGGATAGTTGGTGAATGCGGCCTAGGGAGAACACCCACCTAAGTGTTTGACGGGCAGTGGTCAAGCCAAGTGTAGTGCCCATGGTGCCAGGATGGAAGTTGAGGGGTTAAGGTTGAATAGAAAATAGCAGTATATGTTCTTAAATGATATTCTCTCCTGAAAACACTGTGCTTGACACTTACGATTAACTGTGATGCATTTTACTTCCAATTATCAATGTTCTGGTTGCTCACAATACAGCTTCGCTAACAACTCGATAATCATTTTACAGCATCTTATACATACCATACATTCATATAATGATTGCGATAAGAGCACACAGCTAGAGTGTTATCTTATTGTACATACTTGAATTCTTCGAGTTTAGTGTATCCCGACCAACTTTATCAATGAACACAACTCAACTTAAGCTTTCATGCGATTTCCCCAAAATTGTATAGTCTCAGGCCACAATTGTACAAGCGCCCGTAAATAAACTCCAGCTGACGCAAGCAAGCACCCTGCTTGGAGGCGGCGAATCCTCAAACAATCAACTGACTGACAGCTGCAGACTGGCAGCACATCTACGTAGCCTTGGCAAGAAGGTGCGGACTTGCTAATCGATTACCAAAATACTGTACGACAATGAATCTCGGTCTAGGTTTCGCATATGTTAACCTCTCGATCTACAGAATTCTTAAGTCATGTAAACACGTACCTACGTGCACGGGCACATTTATCGATTTTACTGTTTGTTATCCTTATTGCGCCGAATTACTTCATCCAAGCTATGCACAAGAATAGTAGTTCCGTTTCTACACGTGTACCCTGGATAAATCTGAGGGATCAGATGTCGCGCAATCTTGATATCTGTTCTGTGGACTTCCTGCTTGTTTTTCTTACCACATCTCTCTGTCACATGGGGGTCACACTTGAACTCCAGGTAGAAGTTGTATTTGTGTATTGGAAATAGAATAACTACTCGAATAGTAGAATAGATAATTTAATCCACAAGACAGGTGATAATAGATTACGCCTGGTTGAGGATAAACTGCAAAATAAATCTGCAGCATTACAATTATAAGCATATGTATACCAAATATGTTCTTTTCTCTAGTTACCATTGAGATTTGTTCGAGATTTCATTAATAGGAGTGTACTGGAATACACTTTAAGTCTAGATATATGAAATGGATATATA